CAGCTAGAGCTACTCAGATGTGTATTTGGCTCTGTTGACCTCCTTCTCAATCTCTCCTTGTATGTTGTTTTCTTTGCCTACCTGCTTTCCTCCTGGAAACCCTTTACTCATCAGAGAGAAACAATAGCTCAGGATAGTGGACGGTGGGCTGAGTGGAATTTCAGCCCCTCCAGGTCATACCAGATAAGACAGTTCTCTGCCCTCCCAGAGGCCAGAGCTTACCTCAGAAGCAACCCTGGGTCTTGCAGTTTCTTGACGCAGGCTGAACCACAAAAACCAGCTATTTTTTTACTCTTGGCAAAGAAAACATCTAGAAACCAAGTTCTCAAGATATAGTTGAACTCAGAGAGAGCAAGAAGTAAAAACCAAAGGAAGTGGTTAGTGAGGAAATAACAGGGCGAGGGCTGACAGGGTCCTGAGCACAGGATGCGAGAAGGTATCAGGAAACAGATCGTGTGAAGATTTCAGTGGGCTCCCCTGAGAGTTCACAGCCAGTTTCCTCTCCCACTCGTGTTAACCACAATTGCAGTTATTCTGCTTCTATGCACTAGGGGAGTGAGGGTGGGGGGCAGAGGAAGTGAAGGAGTACATCGATAAAGAACCCCAATAAAGCCACCCGAACAGGCCTAAGACACGATCCTGCCAGGAAACCGCTGAGATAGGAATACAGGTCACTCTGCGGCCTCTTTCCCAGGCTCACGTGCAACTTATCACTTTTATAGGTAAGCACGGCCAGATTTGCTAGAGTGGATTTTCAATTCAAAAACTACATTTTGGGCAAAGTTGTTTATAACAAATATTCAAATTGTGCGAGTTTGAATGGTGAGGGCTACCTTGAGGTTAAAATCTTGTGAAATTTTAGTGATTCTAAAATATAATGGTGAGTTGAAAACCGCTTAACAGGGCAAAAGTCTTAACAGGCCTAAAAGAGGCCACTGCAATTTTTATACAACCCAGTGTTTAGAATTTTTTGGTGTTAAATCAATTTGTTCCTTTTACTTTGCATTTTTTCATCATGTTTTTTTTACCTGTGTACCCTCTCCTTCAACAAACACAATGCTTTGTATCATCTTATTAAAAATGATATACTCGGTAACTATGCTGTCCAATATGGTAGCCACTAGCCACATGAGGCCATTTAATTATATGAATTAATATTTAAAAAATGTAAAAATTATATCCTCCATCACACTAGCCACATTTCAAGGACTCAATAGTCACATCTGGTTAGTGGTTACCATGTTGGACAGAACATTCTATTGAACATTACTGCTTTATAAGGAAACCTTTGACACAGAACAATCGTCACATACATCTTAATATAACTTCAGGAAGTCTGATAGATAGATAGATAGATAGATAGATAGATAGATAGATAGATAGATAGATAGATAGATATAGATATAGATATAGATATATTTGCCTTGATCCACTTCCCAGCATAGCCTTGAACCATGAGAATACAACTTGCTATAAGTTCCACAATGTAATATAAAATGTACCCCTTCACTCAGCTGTGGCCCTTTCCTTCCTCACTCCTGTCTTACCCTTACTTCAGGCTGTAGTCACATCGCTTACTAGAAAAGATAGGACACAGAGAAAAATGTCCCCTGTAATGGCCTTGGGCCAGTGTGCAGAAAGGACAGGAGTGGAGGGACCTGGCCAAGAAGAAGTTTCAAAACGGAGACCTTGAAAACTATGCTGGGACTTCTCTTCGGATGGCCCATGGATGAAGCAGGAAAAGTAATATTTGTGTCTCCAACTGAGAGGAATGAAATAAAAGCAGAAAGACCTATTCCTCCAGCGGCTGGGGATGCGGCCAGCTGTCAGCCCTGTCCTGAAATTGGCTTCCGCTCAAAGCAGATGCTTTATGTAAGGTCAAGGATTCTTCCCAGGGGAAGTTTACATCCAACAACTGGTCCATGGGATTATAAAGCCCAGCTTACCCACCTTCACTCTGAACATCCACCCAAACTTTAGCTCTCCCTGTGGAGTGGGCATTTGTCGTGACATCTCAGTCCAACTGCCCTCTGCCTTACCCCGTGTTCTTCGCTTCCCCCGTGTTCTTCGCTTCCCCCTCAAGAGTCAGTCCTAGTAAACTTCTTACATGCGTATCTCCATAGCAACGGTCTGCATTCCTTGAAACCCAACCTTTTATATCTTCACACATGCATATCACCTATATTGGGGAACTTACTAACAAAATTTACAATATTAATAGGTTAAAAGAAAAAATCATGGGATTATTACAATCTACATTAAAAGGTGTTTTCCCCAATTCCCACCTCAGATAAAAACTTTTAATGAAATAGAGCTAAACAAAGTGTACTACACTCATTTGAAAATGAATTAATTAAATGCCAAAAACCAGCATCAGCATTAATGATCAAATATTAGATGCCTTAAAATTACAATAAAAAATAAAAGCACAAAAATGGCTCACTTTTTAAAAATTAACAACCTATGTAATTACACAAGAAGAAGCAGTGAAGGGTACATTTTAGAAACAGGGGGATAAAATATCATTACTTGCTACTGAGTCTATGATAAACCTAGAAACCCCAAGATAATCAAAAGGAAATGGAAAACTATTTTTTTTAGAAATACTGAAATGAGTAAATTGGGTGGTTATAAAATTTATTAAAATTTATTTATTCCTTCATATAGAATAAAAACAGTTTGGAAAACAGGATGAAAGAAAAAACTACTGATTTAGAATAACAACCCAAAAGTTAGATTTTCAAGAATAAACTGAGCTCTACATGAAGAAAGACATAATACTCTAATAAAGGGCATAGAAACTGCCAGACGTTTTTCTAAAATGTTCTAATATTTTACACTGTGACTAACAATGTTCGTTTTGCTCCCCAGCCTCACTTGCTGTCTTTTTATTGATTTTTATTTTTCCCTCCAGTTTTATTGAGGGAATTCACACATTAAACTCCATATGTTAACAGTTTACAATGTGATGATTTGATACATACTTTGTGAAATGATTATCACCATCAGGTTAATTAACACACCCATCGTCTCACACTGTTACCTTATGTGTGTGTGTGAGAACACTTAAGATCTGCTGTCTTAGCGAATTTCTGGTATACACTACAGTATTAACTACATCACCACGCGGTACCAAAACTCACCTCTTGTCTTTTTTACAAAATGGCCGTCGAAACAGGTTTCTCTCATAAACTAAACAACATTTTTAGGTATATAGAAAAGCAATGTTTTAACCTTTTTGTATTAAAAAACACTTTTTTATATTTAGGTGCTCTGTCAAATTTTATATGTGATGTAGAAAATTGATGGGCTTTGGGTTTGATGTATATTGCATTATATTTGTTTTACATATAAAAAATAGGAACTAGGTCCCTGTTAATGCTGTGACACAGAACGTTTTCTTTCCAGGAATAGATTACTGATATTAAGCAGGACTTGTCCATACTGCATTGTTCTTTAAGCACACTTGAGAGACTGCCCAGAAAGAATGTGGAAGAATTCAAAACACAGCGGTAACAGTGTGTAACAAGGGGTGGTGTCCACCCACGTCTACGACTCCCCTGCATGTCCCAGCCTTTCTGATAGTGACACCCAGGCCATGTGATTGTTCAATGGGGAGAGAAAACAACACGCTTCACTACTAACCTGGGAAGTTAAAGCAATCTAAGGTCCATATTCTCTCTCCCCCTGCTGTGGCAATCGTCATCCAAATAAGGAAAAAGAGCATTGGAAGGATTTCAACTTTAACTCTTTGAGTTGATCTTCCTGAACGCAGACACTCCAGGTTACTATTGTAGACACCACTGAGGTCATCGTCCCCACGAGAAGCATTCTCTGAGATGACACAGCTGAACAGGACAGAAAGGCAGGGGTGCCCGGGAAGCCATGATGAGTTATTTCACAAAGCTTTGAGGGTTAGTTGTTGGGAGCCGGCTGCACCTCAGTGTCTGACATGGCCAAGCACACTGCCGTTGTAATAAATTCTGAAGCTCTGACTGAGAAACAGATACTGCTTTATCTCTTAGAAAATTTATATTCCCCTTTAGACACCCTCAGTAGGATGAAGACCTGACTCCCCTCCCAATATTGATTATTTTATTTACCTTAATCAACTTAGTAAGTCATATATATATAATAGAATTATAGAACTATAATTCTATTTTATACACTAAAATCAATTTTAGTCACACTGCTAGTCCCTTAGTAATAGTAAAAATATGTACCCTGTGAGTCTTGAGATCCTGTTTAGCTAGTAGTGTTGAGGATAATTGCTGGATAGCCATGCGAACCATTCTTTAGGCTATGATGCAGAGACTTAGCTTTAGCCACATAGTAATTATAGGTAAAAGATTGAAACACAGTTTAGATAAGCATAGAACAGGTCTAGCTGTACCTTGTAGCATAAGAATTGTTAGGAAGTGAGACTCTGAGAAAAATAGCCTACCATATTTGCCGGCGTATAAGACGATTTTTTGGCCCTGAAAAATATGCCTCCAAGTGGGGGGTCGTCTTATACGCC